GCCCTGTGGCGCAATTAAAATTACCTTATCAAAGGAATGCAAGGCTTGTACCACTATCGGTCAGTCTAAGGACAGTTGAAGAAAAAGGAATCTAAGTGGTCGTACGTTATGTGTCTTTCAGAAGCTATAAATTAGCTGAAATATCTGAAAGCCATTCAGAAGGAAGATCCAGCTCTGTGAAAAGGCTTAGTTAGCTGTTGCCTGGATCAGTGGGCCTGTGGACCTCAAGAAGCCCAAGAACTGCATTCCAGGGTCCTTCCCGGCACCCCTCAGACAATGTTGTCTGGGGACGCCTGACCTCACTGAACTTTGTGGAAAGAAAAGCTTGCTGTGTATCGGGAATCAGAGGTACTGCCGATAAGCTGCCGACACGAATTGCTTTGGTCTGTCATCGTTTGTCTTATTACTACGTGTAGTTGTGTTTTTCTTAAGTCAATAAATCTTTCTTACCTTTCTACCCCTGACCACACTCTCAAGCTAAACCCTTCGCAGGCGGCTGGGACAAACACTCTCCAACTGCACTAAAAATAATGTGTATATTTAATGCATGTTAAATATTCTGCAAGACTTTCTAGAGCAACCATTCTCAACCATCTTTTCAAAAGCCACTGACTTCTCTTGTTGCACAGTAAAGATTGACTTATTTACATCAGTGGTGCCCAACTTTTCAGACCCACAGGCCAGACAAGTGATGTGGGGTTGGTCTATGGGCTGGATCACATACACACTTGGCGAGTGGGGGCAGGTGCAACCCCAACATACCAGATGCAGCCATGCATACCAGATGCAGCCCAGTTGGGTGTCTGCCCAACTGTGCTCTAATACAATCAGGAACACAGGTTCACATCAGTTGTCATGGGGGGCTCCCCATGGGTCCAAAATTTGGCAGCAAAGGAGAGGCAATTAATACTGCCACCACTCCCCTGTTTCCAAGTTTCTGGACCTGCAGAGAGGCCTGCAGGTTGGATGATAGCTCTGTGGGTTGGATCTGGCCTATGGGCTGGAAGCTGAACATCCCTGGTTTATATAAGGAGCTGAAAAGGCTAAACTTCAGAGGCTCTTTAACTCTAATTCCAGATTGTTTGGCTAGTGTCAGTATCCACTATCACGAATACAAACCACTCAACTTGGGGGGGAAAGAGAAATTTCAGAACTTCCATGTCATTAGAGAACAAGAGAAAGACAAGAAGTGCATGCCCCCCTTCTGACCCCTGGAGACCTTTCCTTACAGTATCTTAACATACAACAAATTCAATCCACGGATTTTAACATGAAAAATTCATTCTTTTATTTTCCAAAAAACAAATTAATCTTATGTTTCAACTAATAGAACAAGATTAAGAGCAAACTTCTTTAATACCCAGAAAAATAATAAGATTTATAGTAATCTATTTCTGGCACTAATATATGCAAGTAGGCAAAAATCACACGTGCCTATTCTGCAGGGGCAGCTTCAGTGTTTTCTTGTTCAGGGGCAGGTTCACTACTTGTTTCTTTGCCTTCTTTGCTTCTTTTGGATTTTTTGTGTTTATGTCTTCTATGGCTGTCCCCTTCTTCACTGTCATGACGACGCCTGCTGTTACTAAAAAAAAAATAAGAAAAATGCTCACGCAGTGGCATAGATAGGTCCTCCACTATTAAAATGGCCCTCAAATAGAAGGCACGAAAACCTACCTCTTACATCCTTACATGGCAATTGATACATGTTGTTCTGATGTCATGTGCAGCACTTAAAAAGATGTACACCAGAACAGAACAATGTCCTAATCAAACTCTATTTTTGATTAAAGTAGTTTATAAGAATTTATCCTGTAGACTTAACTAGGCATTACGAAGGAGCATCTTTCTCTCATGTTTCTAATTAAAATGCTTTTTTGTTACCACCTTTCAAAGTTCCTACTGTGACTGTATAGAGCAACAGGGGCCAAACTTTTTAGAAAGGCATGCCACAAGGTGAGCTTCACACCGTCTGATCCTCTTCCCCTGTCCATTCTGTTGCTCTGCTCTCTGCCCTACCTGTCGCTCTATTCCCTACTCATTTCTGTATCTGCCATGCGCTACATACAGAGGCTGCCCATGCCACTTGTGGCATGTGTGCTGTGGGTTGGCCACTTTTGCCATAGAGAGTTTTAAAGTTATTACCAGCGGTATAACTGGGCAGCTCTGTGCTTTATGTAGTGGCAGGGCAAGGGGCAATGGCAGCTGCTAAACTGTGGGTGTCATGGCTGGCTGCTGTTTTTCACCCCATCCAGTGCCCAGGGCTGCTGCTCCTGTAACCCCACTTTATTAAGATACTGCTTATTACTACCTTCCCCTGAAAATAGAAAGCTATAGTCTTAACCCATATTGTCAGTGCAAAGAGCGATATGTTGAACATTGATTAATCCCCTAAACACATGCCCTTGTTTGAAGTTTTTATGCAATGCTGCTGGATATTGGCTTCCCTTCACACAATACATTTTGCCCCTTATAGCAAAAATACTATTCTAGTTCTATATCAGAAAGATGTTACACATTGCCCAGACATGCAACTACCTTAAACTAACACCTGTCCTTCTTTTATATGGTAGATTTGCAGTACATTGAAGTATTTACCACCTTTTCATGATACTTTAATTGGTCAAGTCTATTTCCATATTCTATTAAAGAGCAAACCTTCGAGATGACTTGTGTCTAGTCTCTTCTTTTTCTCTATGTCTCCTTTCTCTGTGTCGTTCTTCTTTCTCTCTGCTTGTTCTATGACGCTCATAACCTCTTTCTGCATAATCTCTATATCTGTATCGTTCTTCATCGCTGGTTAGAAAAAGAAAATATTTCAACAAACCATACAAATATTAAAGCAGCCTAGTGAAAAAAAACCCCTTTAAATAAATACTTACAAAATGAATGACAAAACACACCTAACATGTTTGGCAGGGTTTATCATCTACAATGTATGCTAAAAGGACATTAATGTTGCTTAGTTTAAGTGCCAGAATATTGGAATTGGTGTAACCCTGGTTTTGAAGGGCTGATATTTTGACACAAGTGTCCTACAGAAGAGAGGAAAGAAGAATTTCATAGCATCTCAACAATTCATTAAATATATGCATAGCTTATTAAGCAGTAACTCAAACTTTATATGCTTTCTCATGCAGTGACACTTTATATACTTAATTTGCAGTTGGACATCAAGATATAGTTTTGTGATCACCCTGTATAAACAAAGGTTTTTAAAGAACAAATTGCAGACTTCTGCTTATTTTTTAATCAGCACCCCTTCTGTACGTTTTAACACCTTCAAGCTGTTGAAAAGAATTTGAACATGTTCAACAAAATCTTTGGTACATTTCAGCTGCTACTTCAAGACAACATTAAGGAAGAAAATACATATACAGAGGGCCAAAAATATGCTAAAGTGAAAAATGTTGTATATTTGCTAAGAGTCAATAACTTCTCCACTTAAGTATGCAAGCTGACAGCATCCCTTAAGACACAAAATATCAATTAAGAATTCTATGAAATAAGGTCAATGTGACCCTACTGTATATTTCTGATTTTAATCCAACACAAAAAAAGAATTAATATTTGCATGCTGCCCCTACTATGTATCCTTCATAACTTCTGTTTATATTATTAAAAACAGATACAGTTTCATAGCTGGAGTTTCATTCTTGTGCTGTTCAATGAAAATAAGCTAACTATGACTATTAGCTGGTCTCCACGACTTGGAAGCTAAGGATCCCTACAAGACCCCGGACTGAAAACGCTAGTGACATGACCAGGCTCTCTGAACCAGGACAGGGTGTAAAAGGTGTAAGAACTGCAAAGCCACTACATTAAAACAAGAACCAAAGTTTCACCTTTTCTGGTCCTGGACACAAGGCATGCTAATACTGGTAAAACATGCATCGGTTTTCTAAACCAATGTAAGCTGGTATGTCCCAACTGGACAGATAATCTTCTTTCTGGCAGCTACACCAAGAAAGCTGAGGAGGCATTAACGTTCCAATGGCTGTGAGTAAACAGCTACTCTAGGGTAGAGGCAGACACGATACATGCAGCAGAACATCTTTCACCAGTTCAGTTTACCCTGAGGTACTTCCTAGGTTAAGTGTACTCTATTAAGTTATACCACTGCAAGACTATATGCAACATGTGTCCATTCCTTGTTTACATCAGCATAATGATGAAGCACCAGGTGTAAGGATGTCACAGCTCTCAATCTGAGCCAATATTTACCAGAAAATAGTATTGTGTTTTTATGGAGTAAAATCCATGAGATTCTACTGAACAGGATGGATGTGAGGAGAACTTCCAGGGGAAGAGCTACCCTCAACTCAGCCCAGCATTGCAGATTCCTCCAACATCTTAATGCGGTGGAAACCTGGAGTGGATGGAGTTGTTTGTGCTACAGAAGGTGGACAAGCATAGACTTTGGGGGTGGAAGAAAAGGGGTCATCACCTGAACTGATACTGCAGGATCTCATGGAGTTCCTACACTCTGTTGTCTTTAATTATACTTTGAAGCAGTCAGTTAAGTCTTGGGCAAAGTATTTCCTTTAAATTTTCAGGATACTAAATCCCAGAAATTACTGCAGACAAATGATAAAAGCAGCCAAGGAATGTCATCCGTTTCTCCACAATCTGTCAAAACACAGTAGCTACCACTGGTTAACTCATAATGATTCAAAAAGTTCTGTGGTACAAAATCTTAACCATGTGAATAACCAAAGACAGGGGAGCATATAATTTTGATATAAATCTATTAATCTGTGGGAGTCATTTTACAGCTCTAAGGAATACAGCATTTATTCAAATGGAAATGCACCATCACATTAGATCTCTCTCTCAAAAAAAAAGTTCTTCTACTAAAATACACTGATAAAACAAGAAACACAGATATGAACCAGACACCGTCTCTCACCCCATCCTAGTTAAAAAACTAGGCGACTGTGGCATCGATGCCTACACAGTCAGATGGATTGCAGATTGGCTGAGGGGTCGCACTCAGAGGGTAGTGGTGGATGGGTCATATTCAACCTGGGGGGAGGTGGGTAGCGGAGTCCCCCAGGGCTCGGTCCTGGGGCCTGCGCTGTTCAATTTCTTCATCAGC